ATATTGTTAGTTTTTCTGAAAAAGAACAACTTAGAAGAGGAAAGGTTTATTTTGGCTCATGGTTTCAGAGGATCCAGCCCATGTTTGGCTGGCTGTATTCCTTTGGGCCTGGGGTGGGGCAGAATATCATGGTGGTAGAGAAAAGTTCCTTAGCTCATGGAAGCTGGGAAAGTAGAGAGAGAGGAAGAGAAGAAGGAGCCAACAAGAGTCCCCAAGGCCATACCCCCAGCCACCTCTTCCTCCAGCTTTGTGCCACCTTCTTATAGGATTCACCATCCCAGTAAGTGTACTCATTACTAACCCATCAAATGGATTAAACCCAATGAGGTCAGAGCCCTTAGGAACCAATCATTGCCTGAAAGGCCCAGCTCCAGACCTTGCTGCATTAGGGAGCATGCTTTTAACACATGAGCCTTTGAGGGGGACGTTCCAGACCCAAACCATAGCACAGTCCAAGGAGAGAGAAAAGAAAACTCACATCACCATGACCTCAGAGCACTTACTTGACCTCTACATTGTAATGAGTTTTTGTTCCTGCTGTTTGAAATCATTGTCCCTGTCCTTCTTTCTCTTTTCTTCCTGACCAAACCTTTTGAGAGGGATTTTACTCTTATCCCACTTCACATGCTGATGTCCCCTCTCCAGTGGAGGCTGCTCAGGTACCCATGCTTGCTTTCTTCATAATTTCTTTGAAAGACATCATTCATAGGCCATACATTTAACAGTTTTGAAGTATATATTTCAGTGGTGGTAGTGTCACAATACATTCTGAATATTGTATGTAATTGGCTCTTTTCTGTCCTTTTCATGTTTGACCTTTTTGTGACATCTGGCATTGTTGACTTCTCACTCCTAAACATACACCAGTCTCATTCATCCCTTTTCTTTCTTCCCCTGTTTACCTCATAGTTGTTTTCAGTCTTTGTGGGTCCCCCCTTTCCCAATCTGCCTTTAAAATTTTGATTTGGGGTTATTTTTCTCATTATACATGCTGCCCCTGAGAGAGTTCATGACTTCAAGAACCACTAATGTGTGTGGCTCACCAATGTCTATTTCAGTCATTTACCCAATAAATATTTATTATGCATTTATCATGTTCAAGGCTCAGTTTAGGTATTTGGAATCTGTGCTGTTATTGAACCTACTTTCTACTGGGAAGAGAAAAGCAATAACAATGAAGTAGTAAAGAAGGAAGTTTGCAGTTTTCAATTGCCAACGATAGGGTTTGCTGAGCAAGTACCTTTTGAATAGAGAATTGAAGGAGGCGAGAAGTCAGTACTGCCCCTGTTTTCAGGAAGATCATGCAAACATGGCAACAGCAAATAGAAGGATATTAATGACAAACTTGTTAGGCACATTTTAAAAAAAGGTATGGAGATAAGTGAGCTGGAGTTGAGGAGCGGGGTGGATGGATGTTGGTGCTGAGATACTGAGTGAGCAGGACAAGTAGAGATTTATGGATCATTATAAGGTCTTTGGCCTGTATGTAAAATGAGGTTGAAGTACAGGATTTTGTTGAGCAAATGAATATGATGGGCACGTCTTCTGTGTTCACCATAGACTCTATGGTGACAAAGTTTGGAGCAGGAAAATAAGAATAGAAGACTACTGAATTGGTGCAGTCTTCATTCTTCTGTATCATGGACCAGCACACTTAAATGTCCATCGAAAATACTTACTAGGGTGCCACACTTCTTAAGTTCATCGTCTCTAAAGCTGAAACCATCTCTTTTCCCAGCTGCCTGTTCTAATGTTTCTCCCTCCTTCTGTAACTTTTCTCTTGAGAAAGGCCCAAAGAGCCACCCTTGACTTTTCATGGGTTCCTTACTTTTCAACCAAATTGAAGATTAAAAATGTTTAAGTTCTTCATATGGCATACACTACTTTACTTTCATCCAATGATTAGTTAATCCTGTATTTCTGCTGCCTTTCAGTAATTGATATTAAAATGACTTTGGTTTCTTAGATGTATGCAGGATAAGGCTCTCTCAGTTCTTTCTGACTTGTGGAAGAAACCGCTCTGTCTACTTCCCTGCCTGGCCTGGGCAGCCTCTACTTCTTATTTAAGTGACTGATATGAAGGTAGTATGTGCTGTAGTTGGGTTGTATTCCTGCTCTACAATTTATGAGTAACATGACTTTAATTACCACTTAATAATAATTCTAATAATTCTCATTTTCTTTCTCTTAAACAAGGCACAAGCATAACCATCTGTCTGGATTATTTTTTTTTTTGTGTGTGTTAGATATAATACTTCTAAAGCCTCTGCTAGATAGTAATGACTCAAGAATAATACTCTCTCTAGGGCACAAGCTTCAAGAAGACAGTAGAAGGGACTTAACTGAAAGTCATAATTGACATTAGGGCTTACTCTTTGTGTTGTATGATGCTGTGGATCTTGTCAAGTGCATCTGCCACCACATAAACATAGTATCAGAGACTAGTTGCAGCGCCCTGAAATTCCTATTTCTTTCTATCCCCAAAGCACCCTTGGAAACCATGGAACTTTTTGCCATCTTTTCTGTTGCCTTTCCCAGGATGTGAAACAATGGGAATCATATGGTTTATAGCCTTTGCAGACTGTTTTCTTTCACTTAGCAATTGAATGGATAGTTTTAATGGAATCAGTGTCTAGGTTCTCTACTTCTACATATACTTTTTATTAATATTGATCTGGCTAAGAGCAATGCTTTAATAACAACAGTCTTTTTTCTTACTCTACAAAAGTAAGGCATCCTCATCCATGTCAAATCTTACTATGGTGCATTGCCTTGGAATCAGAAATTTTAATATTTTAACAATTTTAACTAATGCATTAAAGTTTTACTTTAGAGAAACATGACAGGGAGACCAGTGAAAGACTTCTAATTATAAAATATATTACACAAAAATTCTATGAAGAAGCGAGATGGAAGTAAAGGTCAAGAAAATAAAGTGTAAAATATAAGTATCAGCTATTAAAAGTAGCTATTTGTATATTTAAGGGGATAACGATTATACTAAATTGTTATGGATTTAGATTCTATTGAGTATATTTAAAATATATGATGTCTCATTTTGAAATGGCAGTATTTTCCAATGGAGTAGAAATTAAATTCTTTGAAGGCATACATTTACTTTAGGTGAAAATTGTAGATGTTAAGTTAGTAATAGGTGAGGGTTATATAATGTTTCAAAATTTCAAAAGTCAATGAAAAATGTTGAAGGTCTACCTACTCTATAAAACTTAAGTTTGTTAACCTGGCTTGTAAAATCCCTCCACACCTCTCCTTCTCTAGTCTTTTTTTTTTTTTTTAATGTTTTAAAGTACCTTTTCTTTCTGTCTTTATTTTCCAGCAAGAATGAACTATTTGAATTTCCATGTGCATACCCCACTCTTTCCCGCCTGTCTTAATTGTGTTATTCTTCCTTTCTTTGCCTCACTAAACTGCTCATTCTTCAGGTCCTGAAGTCTCAAGTGAAGAACCACTTTCTGTATCCCCCCTCCTATTGGCTCAAGGCTCCTTTCCCTTGGTCTCTCAGTCTTCATCCTGGGACTTCACACACTGTCTTGCAGCCAACCCCCCAACCCCCCACTAAGACTATTAGCTCTTCCAGAGTAGGAACTGTGTTTTGTCTTTGCCTCCTCAGCATCTAGCTACTACATCTTCTGGCAAGGAGTTTATTTATTGGACGAAGATTAATTATTGAAGTAAGAAAGATAGATTTCATTTGTCTGAAAGTTAATTGTACAGCACTTTTGTTCTGTCAATTACTGTTTTGTTTTATGCTAATTTTCTGGCTGTTGTATTTGCATTTACTGGTAAGGTTTTCAGTAAACTTTCACATGAAGGTGGACCTGAAATTGAGTCTGAGGGTCACTGCCCAAGAAAGAGAAGGAACACAGTCTTTGAGCAATTAGGCAAGGATTCTAGTTTTGGCTCTGCTGCAGAGTTGCCACTTGACCCTGGGCACAGTAATAGCCTAGGTGGGGGTTGAATTTTTTCATTAGTAAAGTAAGTGACTAGATCATTTCAAATGCCTTCACCTTGAGAAAAATTAATAAGGTGAACAAATGATTACCCTTGACACAGAGAATAAAAATTACGGGCTTCAGTTATTTTCTTATCATTTATACTATGAGCATTATAGGTTTTATAGGTAGATGATAGAGATCTTATTCATATTAACTACAAACTATAAATTAAAGTAATTTGGGGTTAATACAGTATGTTGATTCACATAATTTCAGATTACATTTAGCTTTTTTCACCAAATACATCATTTACCTGATAAATATACTTTCTAGTGCATTTCTATCATCCTAGAAATGAACTTAATTATGTCAAAACATTTCTTTGTGCCCAATTACTGAGTCACTGTAGCCTTAGTTTAATGAGAAATAATATTAAAACAATTGCAAGAATGCTTTCCTATGTTTTTGGCCATTTTTAGTATGTAGTAATTAAGTTTTATAAAGCCTGATTGAATGACATTTAGGTCTTTTATAAAGGGTTTGAGATTGTGTTTGGCCAGAACAAAGGCAGTATTTCCTTTCTTGTCTTGCACTCCTCCCTGCCCCCCTCTTCTCCACCTGCTTGAGGAAAGCTGTATTTCTTCAGACAAACCTCATAATTGCCCTTCTGTGCCTGATTTGGGCCTCAGGAAAGGCCCATAGCATCTGTAAAGCTGGCAGCAAAATGGTATTTCCAGGCAGGCACAGGGTTGCTGGGTAGTGAGCCAATCCACAGCTTTGTCTGAGCAGCTGAGAACTTTGCCGGAGTATTACCACGGTGTTCAGTAACACAGACCTGTGCCATGAGCAAGTAAAGCACTGAGCAAGTGTGAGGGTCAATATTTATAGACCACTACGTAGCTGCCTTGCAGAAAGAGACGAGAGAGAAACACGCAGGCAGAGGGCAAGGAAAGAAAGACCAGAAAGACCGCAGTGGAGGAAACTTGAATTTTCAATGTTGTTTTTTTTTCTTTTTTTCTGAAAAAAATTCTTTTTAACTGTCAGGTTCAAACTTCTGCTGAATCATAACCATTTGGCGCTGAGCTATGACAAGAGAGGAAACAAAAAGTTAGAGGAGCAAGCCTGCCTTAAGTGAGAAGGTAAGTAATTAGCCAGTTCAGTCTCGCTTTTACTTGTAAACTCCATCTCCCTGTTGGCTGTTCTGATCAGTAAGCAGAGGACTGTGTGGCATGCTAAAGCTACTAAGGAGGGCTGTCTGCTGCTGAAGAGTGTTCTTGGTGGCAGTGTAGTTTTGTGTACTGCTTCCGAGAATGCTGTGTACATACATAATGCACTTGATGTGGGTGGTGGGAACAGCTGTCAAACACTAATTCCCTGTGTGTCCTATCAATAAAGTTTCTGTCTCTCCTTTCTGTCATTCTCAAAGTCTTCCAGTTGGTGAGTTCCTCTTTATTTTTTATATCAGTAATTAAAACATTAGTATCAGTTAAGTTTATAGTAGTGACAGGGCTAGGGGTGTATGGGAATTTTCAGATGAACACGTGAAGATGTAGTAGATAGTGTCAAAATGCAGAAGCTGGGAACATAGGCATCATGTTGGTTTTCTTTTCCTTTTTTAAAAATTTCAAACCAATGTCCATTTGATAGTGCACTGAAGTGAAACAGTCAGTGCCTTTGGGAACAGAGATAATCAGGAGTGACGAGGAGTAAGAATAGCCTTTTTTTTTTTTTTTTAAATTTTCCTAACCAAATGCTCTTTATTTATACTACAGAATAATTTTATATGGCCTACTCTTAGTCATTTTTTTTCTTTTCTTTTTTTTATTGGTTGTTCAAAACATTACAAAGCTCTTGACATATCATATTTCATACATTAGATTCAAGTGGGTTATGAACTCCCATTTTTACCCCAAATACAGATTGCAGAATCACATCGGTTACACATCCACATTTTTACATAATGCCATATAGCCTTCTTAATCCAAGGTGCAAAAGACTTAGGCACTTAGGACACAGTCCTTGCTGGTCCAGGTGACTTGCTACTGGTTTCTTATAAAACATGACTTGCTATTAAACATTAAACTAAAACTAGTGCCTCTTGGTACACATTGTTTATTTTTCCTGTCACCACGCATAGCACTTGTTTCTGTGTGTGTTCATAGTGCTGTAGTATGTTCGCTTATCAGTTTGTTTCTGAATATCCCAGATTATCATTGAAAGTAGTAGTGTTGAAGGAGACAGGAATAAATTATTTTCTGTGCGTTTTTGGATTTAGAACACTCACACAGTTTATATGTCTATTACCCACGGCTTAGAAAAATAAATATATTGCCTCTCTAAACTGTGGCAATAAATACATGATATTTATGTACTGACATAGTGAGAGTTTCCTTGTTTGGTGTTTTGGACTGTGGAACCATAAACAGTATGATATTTTGAATTTTTAGATTATACATGAGTTTATAGTTTCAAAGGGTTTTCTTACTACATATTTAAGTTAAAAACACAGATAATAGTAATGCTGCAGTACATATTAAATGATAGGCCAATAGAAGTAAAGAACAACTAATACTCTGGCACATATTTTGTTAGGGCTACTGTGCAGAAACCAGCTTATTCTAAAATAGGATTATACCAGGTCAAAGCAGCAGGTGGAATAGGTCTCAATTAACATAAATATCTTAAAATAAGGCCAGTAGCTGTGCAATATCACTTTTTTAAATGCATGTATAATTTTTTAAATGACAAAATATGCACAACATCAGATTTATTAACTCATAAATGCTTAAAAACTGATCTAATTGATATCTAAATTTGAAGTATTTTTAACACTTATTTAATGCATGTTTCGTCCTCTGAATCACTTTTTCAAGTTCTTCCTGTCAATTTATTAATGAGTTTGATTTAGATTTTTGACAGTGTTTATTTTGAAAATGCCATCATGGTTAATCCAGGATAGGTATTTCTCAGTTAAAGAAACTGAGTTCAGCAATAATGTTATTTTTTTTTTTTTCCTGACAGATACTGTGTCATGGTCAAGAATATAATTTCAGTTTTTTTATTAAGATCTCTCTATTTTTTTATCTTGCATATACATCATAATGCTTCTTTACCGTTTTTATTTATTTATTTTTATTCCTTCTGGCATTTTGTTTCTGAAGTATGACTTTGAAACTTTGGGTAGAAAACAGGGCAAATAAATCACTACAACAAAGAAAAACCAAAGAAACTTTTTTCCTGTGAATAGAAGGAAAATAATAGAAAATTAATAGATTGGTGCATAATGTCTAAAGTGGGCTATATATTGCTTAAAGGTTTTTAAAACTTGAAAAACTTGTTCAACAATGTTTTTTGGATTATCGTTAATCCTGTATTGGTTATTTATCATATTTTAAAATAATATTTTATGCAGGCCATTATAAAAAATGAATGTGGGACCTTTTGTATTATGTGTTAAGTATCTATCAAAGCAAGGTGAGTTTTGAAATGTTAATGTCAGCTTCCTAAAGAACCTCACTGCCTCTATTCATGTGTTATGATACCAGTCCATCTGCTACATCACCGTTAGAATGATCAAATCTCCCACCCTGGTGAACACATTGCTTGTTGCAAAATCCTCCCATCTCTAGCTGCTGTTGCTCAGAGTAAAGGTCAAGCTTCTAGGTACTGTGAGACTCTTTATGATCTGGCTGCTACTTTTCTGTATTGCTCTTCTGCCATTCCTTCTAGGATATTAACTACATCTGTCCTACCCACCCATGAGATTGTTACCCATTTCCTCTTTTTCACGCTCCAGCAATATTCAATATCTTATATTTCTTGAAACCATCTATACAGTGTTGCTTCTCTCTGGGGTTGACACTGCCCTCTCTGTCTTGAAAGCCTTCTTCTACATCTTTGCCTGTCAGTCTTAGCCTCTCCTCCCCGGAACTCTTCTTGGTCCACTCTCAGCTTCTGTATAGGCCTTAGTTACAGCATTTGGCAAAGCTTTCTATAATTTTCTTGGGTTTATTTTTCCATGTGAGACTGTAAGCTACTTGTGGCCAGGTTTTAAAATGATTTCTTTTATGTTCCCCCAAGACCTACCATATAACAAATGTTCCAGAATTTGGAAAAAAAAAAAAAAAACAACAAAAAATTCAATTATTTATTTTAAACACCCATTTTTTAAATAGCTCTTTTAATATATTTTAAAACTGGTTAGATTGAAAGAAAGAAACTCAGGTAAATAATAAATGGATTGAGGACAGTAGTAATGATTTGTAAGATAATTATTTTGTCTTTCCAGCACCAATCACAGGAGTGTGCATCCTCATCCTCATCCATGCATGCAGATAGTTGTTGAAAATACAAAAAAAAAAAAAAAAAAAAAAAAAAAAATGTTCAAAATACATTGTTTTGAAAATGTGTATTCAGGATATATATTTCCAAAGTGTTGTTTACTCAGTTAATTTGATGAAATCTGTCAACATAATAAGCTAGTTGTGGCTGCCACATGGACTGCTGAGATAAATTGATACCTAAGCAAACTAGCCAGTGGCCCACCTTCCAAAAGGCCAAGAGAGAAATTCAGGAGGATCCATCCTCATGGATCCTAGAGAATTATAGCATGGAGTTATTCCCAAAGTTACTAACAAAGGTGTTTCTTCAGATTTTACTTTTGTTGCAGAGATATTTAGGGATTTAGGGAAATAATAGAAAATCATGGCTTAAAAATCCTCAAACCCAGGGACTGGGGATGTGGCTCAAGCGGTAGCATGCTTGTCTGGCATGCGTGCAGCCCGGGTTCGATCCTCAGCACCACATACAAAAACAAAGATGTTGTGTCCGCCGAGAACTAAAAAATAAATATTAAAATTCTCTCTCTCTCTGTCTCTCTCCCTCTCTCACTCTCTCTTTAAAAAAAAAAATCCTCAAACCCAAAAGGTGATACTCCATTTTAGACAGAAGAAGAATTTTCTTCTCAAAATAGAAATGTTGAAAGAAAAGGAAGTCGATGTTTAATAAAGTAGTTGAGAAATAGCAGCTGTTTCTTTTTGTTCTGATACTCAATAAAAATAAAATTTATTTTGTCTTTAATGGTTTTATTTACCCATCATAAAAAGTACTTACTTTATATATGAAATATTTTGTATACCAGAGACAACTATAAAGCTTCATGCATAATTTCGAGTAATTTACAGTTTTTCTCATTTTGATTACTTTGACTCCTTAGTGTACTCTACCAGCACTTTCCATTATTATTTAAGACTTATAAACCTTTTCCAGACGTTGAATATGACTCTTTTGTTTGTTTAACCTTGAATTGTATCTTTCTCAGGAATGAAAACAAGATTGGTATTTTCATAGGAAAATTTGTTAACCTTTTAATTGCTTGGAATGGACCATACTCAATTTGGAATTTCTTTTCAGATATATTTTGTCCCTGTAACTCTCCTATGGTAAAACTGATGTGAACTGGCATGTCAAATTACATATGTAATTTATAGAGGCTGGGAGGGTAGGGGTTTCACTGGTCATGGATGTAGAAATGTACCTAGTTCCCATTGGCCAGTAAGGACAGAAATCCAAGTTTCCCCCAGTACTGAAAGATTATATAGCAAAACCAAAAAGGCAAAACACCATCACCACTACCAAGTAAAGGTCAAAGAACTTTGTGGTTGGAATGAGGTATAAAGGATTTCACCAGAATAATAAAGTCTTATTTTATTATTGTTAGCAGCTTACCTTGCCAATGAAAACTTTTCTATAACTAAGCATGGCATAGAATTCATAGAACCCGAAAAAAATAATAAACCCGAAGTACCATCTTGAAGCTTTTCTTCTTCAACTCTTTCATGTTGTAGACAGGCATTTGTAGCACAAATGGGTAATGGAACTTTCCAAACACCAGCTTTTAAGGCATCTAGTTAAGACTTGGATTTAAAAGAAGAAATACATAATTACTGGGCCAATATTTTATTAATATTCTTACCTGATTTTAATGGCTTTTAATTGATTTAAATATGCATACTCATTTAAAACAAATTTATTGTATTTTTGTATCATATTAGTCTTATTTCTTAATTTGTGAAAGTTAAAGCTAACAGTTATTGTCTGAAGTGAGATGATACTGTGCTTTTCCATTCATAACCAGATT